GTATTATACAGGGTGTCCCCGTTCAACTGGTCGAAAATGCTAGGGTATATAGAGGAACCATAGAGAAGTAATTTGAGATGGGATACCAATGGACGGAAGTGCGTCGTTTCCAAAATACAGGGTGTTGAAATTTAAACAGCCCCCTTTCATATCATCTGGAGGGCTAATGCTAGGCTGTTCAAATTTTCAGGGATTATTGATGTAGGAATGATATTTAAAAATGCGTATAATGCACCCCCATTTTCTACCTGGAACCACCAAAAAAAAAAATTGAACCATATACCTATTGCTTTTATTTTCAAATTTTATTTTAAATTTTTTTTGGGATGGTTCCAGGTATAAAATGGGGGTGCATTATACGCATTTTCAAATATCATTCCTACATCAATAATCCCTGGAAATTTGAACAGCCTAGTAGAGGTATATATGTGAATACAGTATCACCTATTTTGAATGCGCGCTCCGCTCCGGCTTTATCACGCTATATTTCGAAAACAGTTGGTCATACAAAAAAATGTATATGAAAATACTATTTTACGTAAGTTTTGTTTTGGGTTCTTCGACGTCAGATGCACTGGAAGCGAGATTTTCGTGACCTTTGACCTTCGATATCTCAAGACACACAAGAGTAGGCATATTCGATTTTTTTGTACTTCATTAGAACATCAAAACGAAGGTCTCTGCAAAAACTCAGCTTGTTCGGCCTCGTTCCGCAGATGGCCCCATTTTTGGTCTATTTTCCCTGGGGTAAAACCACAGCTTATAAAACTCTCCTCCGAACTGTTCAAAGCAGGGGGAAGGAACACATAAGAGCAAAAGTGCATGCATTTGGTCTTTATCATTCTCGTTTACTTTTCGATTACGTTGACAAGACATGTGTTCTTGTTCTACCGGGGAGGTCTACTCCATGCGACGAGACTCGGACCTCTGTGGAACGGAACAGCGAATCCCCGAAGACTAGAGAACTGTAAAGCGTGGGAACATGACATCGACATTCATAACATCTTCATAGACTTCAAAAGAGCATACAATACCATCAATATAGATGTTGATTATATCAGATTCTTCACAGCTTCAGCATCCCTCCCAAATATATCAGACTAGTACCTAAAAGCCACACTGTTTAACTTGGCACTTTAGCGTCATCCAAAAAATAGACGAAGGAAGATTAAACCTATTAACATTATGTTTATAGAAACGACATAAACATAATGTTTCGTAGAGCAGAAGACACACTAGAAATATACATGAATTACGAATCTAAAGAGAGAAGCCAAAAACATCGGACTCAAATTAAACACATCAAAAACAAAGGTGCTGACACAGACCCGAATAAGAACAAACAGCAATGACAGACGAACCAGAGTTGAGGGCGACTTTGAAGTGGTTGAGAGCTTCAAATACTTGGGAAACAGAATACAGACGGCATACCTATGAAACATTCTTCTCTTTTTAAGAAGTATTTCTCTCCGGAACCATCAATCGCGAATCCAAGATCAGAATCTACAAAACCATCATCAGAACACTTCTATATTATGGATGCGAAACATGGGTCATGACTGGCGGCCTGAAAAGCAAGTTACAGATTTTTGAAAGAAAAATCCTCCGAAAAATATATAGGGGCCTAAATGAGAATGGGATCATATGGAGAAGACGCTACAATCACGAACTATTCCTACCAACTGGTCAGAGAAACTCTCATCTCAGAATTAATCAGGCTGCAAAGACTTCGGTGGACGAGCATGTGACAGGATGCCAGAAGAGAGACTACCAAAGAGAGTAGGTACTTAGCCGAATATCGGAGGCCAGGTTCAATGGAGGAAGAAAGAGTAGGGTTTACTTTGAAACGATTTTTTCAGATTTCAATGACTACACTATACTACATTGTATTGGAGTAGCTCAGGCAGATTGTAGATTGTACATTTCGGGGGAGTCGTTTCGGCTTTTCAGCCGCTCAGCACTGCTACCTTTGCAGATATTTTGTGCGTGACTCTACATCTTAATTTGTCTCCAGGAAGCGTAGACTTCTGCCGAAGGAAACTATTTTCCTGGGTGTCAGTTGGCCCACTTCTTCTGGTGACAGTGTTGCCCCCTCGAGGAATTTGAGCCTCTTGCAGAATTGGGCTGGACATTCGCAGAGCAGGTGCTCTGCGGTTTTTATTGCGTCTGAGCAGAATCTGCAGAGATCGTCTTCCGCTCTGCCCATTAACCTTAAATGGTATTTTACTAGGCAGTGTCCTGTGAGCAGTCCCACCACCAATCTGATGTCTGGTCTGCTCATGCTTAGGAGCTGTTCAGCTCTTTTTGCTGAAAGGGTAATAAACCTATTTGAATGTCTGAGTCCCGGTGTGTGCCTCCAATATGATGACAGTTGGTCTTTCTCCCATTTGTTGAGTTCTTCCATGATGTGGCTTTTCATTGAGCCACAGTAGGGCTCTGGTCCATGGTATGGTGTTGAGGCCCCTTCCTTTGCGAGGCCATCTGCCTCTTCGTTTCCTTCTATGCCTCGATGACCAGGCAGCCACATCAGCGTTACCTGGTTATGTGTCGCTAGTGTTTTTAGGGTCTGTTTACACTCCCAAACTAGTTTTGACGTGCATTTGAAAGCCCTTAAGGCTTTTAAGGCAGCTTGGCTGTCCGATAGTATGAAGATGTGTTTTCTTTTGAGGCTTATTTGGTTAAGACACTCTTGTGCACATATATCTATGGCAAGCAGTTCGGCTTGAAATATTGTAAGATGTTTACCCAATGCCTTGGAGAGCTTGAAGTTAGGGCCGGAAATGCCCAGTCCAGCTCCTTCCATTAGCTTGGATCCATCTGTGTACCACAGAGATGCATTGTCTGCTTGTGGTGTGGTAGTTCTTTATTCTCCCATGATTGGCGGTCGTTTATTACCACTGCGAAGGGAATCTCTAAGCCCAATCTGACCATCATGTGGTCACTTGGTTTGCTGGCATTCTCCAGTTTTATTAGATCAAGGATTTTCAGATGTCCCTTCAGATCGCCAGGCTTGAACTTGTCTATTTGGAATAGCCTGTGAGCGCTGGTTATTGCCTCCTTTTTCACACATAGGTGAAGTGGGGGCATGTTGAGTAGCGTCTCTAGGGCTGCGGTGGGGCAAGTTGACATTGCTCCCGTTATTCCTAGACATATCAGCCTTTGCACCTTTCTTAGCTTAATCTGAGCGGTGACTTGTTGGGTTTTGGGCCACCACACCAATGAGGCGTATGTGACCATGGGCTTTATTATGGTTTGGTAGATCCAGAATACCATCTTTGGCTTTAGCCCCCATGTTTTGCCAACAAGTCTTCGGCATGACCAAATGGCTGATGTAGCTCGAGAGCATGTTTTCTCTAACTGTTTGTTCCAAGTGAGGGTTTGGTCCAGGGTGACCCCTAAGTACTTCACTTCGTTGGAAAATGTTAGTTGTGTACCGTTAAGGGTCGGGGCTTTCAAATTTAGCTTCCTTCTTCTTGTGGACGGGACAAGGATTGTTTTGTTTGCGTTTGGGGATAGTCCTCCGCCTTCGCTCCAATTTTTAACGATAGCTCAGGCAGACTGACAGTAATTTACAGTATGGACTGGTTCAATATTAAACAATAAAGGCAAAATGATGAAACGGTCAAATGGAATTGCAAGAAAGAATGAGAACGGATATTCAATCAACAGGCCGTTCTACAGCTTGCAAGAAAACTTGAATGCAATTTTTTGCATGCAAAAAAATTGCATTCAAGATTTCTTGCACGTCGTTTTACACCTTGCAATTTGACTTGTTTTCTTTCTGACCTCAACCATACTTTTTTGTTTTTAATGTTGTGTTATTGATGTTTGCATTTTCCAAAAGTGAAAAGAGTAATTATAAATCGATATAAAAGGAAGAAAGCAATAGCAGCCACTTTAAGCATCATAATTGCTGAAAATTCCCCAGCTTGCGTGAAAACCTTCAAGAAAAATGGCACCAAACCGTTTGCATGCAATGCCATTCAAGTTTCAAGAATCTTGCAGAAAACAATCAGCTGACTCACTTCTGCGCATGCCCTCGTTCAAGTTTCTTGCATATTGCAGATAGAATTGCAAGCTGTAAAACGGCATTAAGGAAGAAGTTGTGGGTCTGAAATATGCTTATTTAGACTTAAGAGACTTTATCATTCGTTAGCCTGTGAATGCCTATCATGATGATAAATTCAATTTTGAAAAACTCCCAGCTGATTTTAATTTTAATTCAATTTATAATGTCTCAAACGATATAGCATTATCTCTATTTAAAAATTAACTGCAAATGACCAACCGGTGTGAAAAATTCCAACGTTGGTTCCACCTATATCTGTATCTGCACCAAGAGTGATCTTAATAGCTTTGACATCCAAAATAATATGTATTTACATATTTGACACGTTGATAAAGACTTTACTTATATGCCTCAACTTTCACTTAATTAAATCTTATTCACCATATTATAAAGTTATATGAACTTACCTCGAATATTGTAAAATGCTCCTTCACAACCTTGTACAAAATTAATAAAATGAACCTTCTATTACATTTTTTTTTTAAATTAATATGATTCGTAATATTAAATTAAATGAGTAACGTTATTAGTATTTATTGTTATCAGAGAATGATGCTCCTTTAACAATTTAAAATAGAATGCATGGTCCCAGTCATGGGTAAAAAAACATGTTTTCTATAATGGTGGTAACCCATTTGACATTCAGAATTGTAATATATAGACTAGTGGATCTCTGATACCTTTAGAAATTACAATAAATATCATATACAACTTAATTTTCTAAATACATATTGCACTCATATGAAGTGCAAGCGAAAGTAAACTACTTTTACAAGTTATTACCTACCGCCTGCAATCTGCACAACCACAAAAATCTTCATTTATCTTCAACTACTTAGTGAAAGTATATATTTATACACACATTCTGTTTATAACACTCAAGGATGTTCGGTCAGTTGGTTCGTACAGAGATAATACCTAACTAGTTTTTGAAATTCAAGTCTTGCTTCACGTTCTGCATAATTACATAATTATGTTTTTATTATTATGTCTAATTAAATAATTCGATGTGTTGTATTGTTGTTCGAGGCATGAACCAGGAATTTTTGCAATATGATGAACAAAAGTACTGAAGCTTTATCGTTGGGGAACTCGGTATTAGAAATGGAGGTAATTGTTCAGTTATTGTTTTACATTGAAAATTAAAAGTTGCTTCCTTTATTTTAGATACAAAATTCCAATATATCACAAAAGAAGAAAAGTAAAGTACAAATTGTAGCCCATTGGGACCAAACTAAAACTCGCGCTTTTGCGATTTTTGCAGTAATTTTTTTGGTATGGGCCGCTGTGTTTTTTCCATTTTTTCTTCATTAAAAGACAAACTTATGCACCAGAACTTTGTATTTTACATAAGAATTATTGTATAAAATAAAAATATAACTTCTACATTAAAAATGGCTTCGTGAGTATTTCAGATTCTTGTTGCTTGTGGAGCTTACCAATTCCGACAGCTGGAATAGGATTATTGTATAAAATAAAAATATAACTTCTACATTAAAAATGGCTTCGTGAGTATTTCAGATTCTTGTTGCTTGTGGAGCTTACCAATTCCGACAGCTGGAATAGGCAGAGTTGGACGACCGCAAAATTGTATCTGAAATTCAATTATAGAAGATAAAAAGCCAAGCTAAATATCAACTCACCTTATGACCAATAAGACTTTCAAATCGTCTCTTAAAAAACGTCCAAGCGCCCATATTTTGAGGTTCTTCTTGGCACCAAATAAATGCTAGAATATTAATCCACATAAGTAGTACCTATATTTTCGATATTTTAGGAAACCTACTTTTGGCATTTTTGTATTGAGCAACTTCTTGCATTAATTCGGCTGTTGGGAACGGACAAAAAGATTCTACGCGAATTATTACTGTATCATCTACTCCTATAGTTTGTCTTTCTTCAGCTAAAGTGTAAAAATGTTTTCCTGATGTTAGAAGGACTCTTTTTACTCTAGATGGTTCTATTGAGGTATCTCCTGAAAGTACACAATTTATATAATCCAATATTATTAGTCTATGAAATAGGTTTTACCTATTACTGGCTTAAAATAGGTCCCTTTAGTCATATCACCAAATTTTGAAACACATTTGGATGCCCTTAGCAAGGTTTTCGGTGTAATTATAATAAGAGGTTTACGATAGTTTCTAATCATCTAAAAGAAAATATCTATATTTGCTTATAAGACAAAAACAATTTAATTAAATCCTACCTGTCGCCTTAACAAATGAAAATACTGAGCAGGTGTGCTTGGTTGGCACACCTGGAAATTTATATTGTCACCATCAACTTGATCCTCTTTGGAGTCTGTTAACTGCAGAAACCGCTCTAATCTAGAAGAACTGTGTTCTGGACCTGCACCGTCGTATCCGTGTGGTAAAAGGACTGTGAGGCCACTTTGGTATATCCATTTGGCTATTGAAAAACATTTATACAATAATATCAAGAACAGTTCAAACAGTTACCTTCACCGCTAGTAATATAAGTATCAAAAACAATCTGAGCTCCGTTAAAAAAATCCCCAAACTGAGCTTCCCAAATAATGAGATTATTTGGATTTTCTATGCTCATTCCATATTCGAAAGCCAAAACTGCTTCTTCTGATAACGTACTATTTGCCAGTTCTAAAAACGCTTCTTGTTTTGCATGGATGTTGTTTAGAGGTATATGAATACTATTTGTTTCTTGGTCCACAAACATTGCGTGACGCTGAGAGAATGTGCCTCTTCCTATGTCTTGACCACTGATTCTGACATTGTTACCTAAGGAAAAGGAAAATAATATCTTATCCATACAATTTACTACAAGAAAGATGTACTGGAAAAGGCCAAATTTTCACACGAAAAAACATAGAGAAGAAATCATTCTGTTTTTGATAAATTTTTCTACTGCTTTGGAGAGTGTAGGTAATAGAGCTATGGGTCGGTACTCGGTAATTTGAAGGGCAGTTCTGATCTCCACCCTCCAACCGGAGACAAAGGAAATATGTATGGCTTCCTCCAACACACCGAGCACTGTGTCCGGAAGACAGAAAAAAACTTTCACAGACATATGATCCCAAGTTGACGATCTGGAATTCCTTATTATAAATGTCGCTAGTTGTTTTCAGCAGTTGACCGCATAGAGAATGCCCGCAACAGAACAATAAAAAGAATTCAAATCATCAGGGGTGAGAGTAGAATCCACCTTATTTTCGCGAGATTCTCTTTTCATTTCATTTACAATATTCCACGTTTCCTTTGGAACGTTCGCAGAGTTCAATATTCTGCCTTTGTAGTATAACTGTTTGACCAAAGTCAAAACCCTTGTGTCAATTTTTCTATATTCTCCAAAATATGTCATAAACGGTAAGTTATCAAGGCTAAACTTTTTTTATGTAATGCAATGATCGCATATTTCGGGACGAAATTCATCCATGGTTTTTTGGATTTCTTGTTTTTCAAACACTTAATTGGAAATGATGCGTCAAACAGATGGTACAGTCTATCATGAAAAATTTCCAATGGATTATCTTCATTCAAGATGCCTACTCCATTATTCTGCATTACACGATTCCAAAAATCTACTAAAATTTCTTCTACTAAATATTCTACCATTCTTAAAACTTTTTGGTTTGTCTTTGCTAACTGCTTCGAGTGTACAAATAATAGCTTCGTGATCCGAAATACCTGCATAGATGACTTTGCCTGCATTGACTTCTTCACATTTAACAACATTCATATCAGTAGAGTCCAAAGCCCGATCACTCATCACCCCCCACTCCTATGACGTCACGTCCCTGACCTTAGCCTTGGCCTTGAAAAATGACCTAGTAATGTTCTGACGTCACACGACCTTGGCCTTGAGTTGCTGTGCGACCTTGAATGTGCGCAGCCTTGAGTTGGCGCGTGACCCTGATTTGTTTAGATATATTGGAGTGATTGTATTTCTTTTGAATCTTTATTATTGCAAATGGAAATGATGTCAGAGTTATTTTTTACTAATTTTGACCCACTCTATCGATTGGTAGTCAAAATTGAGCAAAACTGAAAAATAAATAAATTGAGTTTTCCCCCTTTGAATTCAAACCTCAATTGCTCGCTAACCGTTGAGCAAATTCCATTGAAATTTTTAGCGTTTGTGGCTCTTAATAAGCTCTAAAAACCCTGTAATTTAAAATATTCCTAGATTTATACTTTTTGAGTAAATTGGGTTTAAAGTTTTTGGCAAAATTTGCATGGATTTATAGAGAATTTATTGCTCTTTCCAATGATATATAATTTATTTCAATTTGCTCAAAATTTAGCAAACATATCGGCAATTGCTCATGACCATGTCAAAATTTGAAAATTTTCCAGAGCCAAAAATAGGATTTCCTTTTTAATTTTTTTTCAGTTTAAAATGGCCATTTCGAAATAATGTCTGGATTGTTCTTCACTAATTTTGACCCGCTCTTGATTGGGGAGCAGCTGTAAACATTTGTGCTTCATAAAAATTTCGCTTAATTTGCACCACTTGTTTCACAACCGGATTCACACACATATTACAAAAACCCGCAACAGCATGCAAAGACGTTTTTTATTTATGGAATATGGTTTAACAATAGCCGTTGGTTTCATATTAATAGCATGTTGTCACGATGGTGGTTGAATGAAGTACACCCTAGATTTGAGGGTGCATTAATCTATCTCAAAGCCAAGACCGGTCTATTTCAGTCGAGATATTTTTTCAGCGAGGTACAGACAGGTGGAGCCCTTTTCACATTCCATTCGCTTCAGGAAAAACAAACAAACATTTCAAACAAAACACAGGGGTTCTCAAAATTTTGAACAAAAACCCAGGAGCCCCCAATTATTATGTATAATGATATTTAAACATCAAGGATTTCCATCTTTTTGTGGTAATGTTCCCTAACTAACCCAAAAATGTTGTAAATTTAAGAAAGCAGAGGCGGATTAAGACACTGGTGGGCCCGGTGCTAGTTTATTTTTTGGGGCCCCTATTTTTTTAGATAATGAAAGGAATGAAAAAAAAATCATAATCAGCCTACCTACTAATACCAACATTCAATAATACATAAATTTGGCTTCCGCGGGGATTCACGCACGAATCACTTAACCTAGAACTATTGATGATAATGGCGATTGGGCTGTCAAAAAGGAAGGTGACGTAGATATATCGCGGGTTGTTTCGTTGTTTCGAGCTGGTCAAGCAAACAATATGAGATGAAAGTACGCCATCTTTGTCTAGGGAGAATTTTGTTTTCTAATGCGCATGCGTAAATACGAAATTATTCCACCAATAACCATCAATTTCAAGCAGCTGATATTGCAGGGTTGCCTGTCATAAAAAAAATTGATAAAGAATGGAAACCACCAGGAAAACACAGCAAGTCAAAATGACGCATAATATCCTCAACTTGATGTGGAATACCGCACAAGAAACATGTTACAAAATGCCTACCGCCGGCTAATAAGAATCTAGCAATTAACGCATGCGCAGTTCATGACCTCGTTTTACTTCGTTCGACAAAGATAGACTCATGCGAGATCATATATACCTCTATTTCTCGTTCTTTGCTTCAAAAACCGCACATTAGGTAAATAGGAAAGGCGCGATTCACGTCAGTATAATAGGTATGTATACATGGTCTTTCCTGTATTTAATATTACAATGACTCATTTCTCCATGAAAAAATGTCATTTTAAGGGCCAGTTTCACAAACAGCGTTAACGACCACAAGACACTACTGGTAACCCACAATATATATGGTTTCATAATGTGTCGTTGAGTCAAATCCATTGATCAAAGTTCAGGTTATTTAACTATTAGGCCCAGTTTCACAATTGGTGGTAACCTGCAGTGGTTATTAAACTAATAGTTACGGGTTGACCACAAATTTGCAAAATAAGTTTTGAGTTAAATATTTTGTAGCTTACCAATGGTTTTGGTTTGGCTAAACCACATATTTTATTATGAAACAGATATACTTATTGCGGGTTACCAGTGTGTTGTAGTTACCGTTGGATTACCGTGTTTGAGAAACTGGACCTCAGTTTGATAATTAGTGCAGGTTACCACCAATTGTGAAACTGGGCTACAGGAATACTTATCATTAAGGCTTCCTTGAAATGATCGGTGCAAATGGCCATTAAATGAACATCTATCATAAAAAATTAAAAACAATGTATTTGATAGTACAACGGTCGAAATTTGATCGTGGCGCCATCTAAGACAAAGATTCAACACTAATCAGCAATTTTTGCTGTAATGTGATTGACTATCTAATCGGCCGACCAAAATTCAGTTCGTGGGAAAACCCAGAATAGGAAAAGCTATTATCTACTGATGAGAAAATGTTGGCTTGATTTTCTCTGCTTTTCCATCCATAGACGCGTTTTGACCTATCAGGTCTCATCAGCATGGCTAGGAAAAGCAAAGAAAACCAAACCAAGTTTTATGCCTGTAGGCAAAATACAAATAGTATAACGGTCGATCAAATTTCGACGTTGGGCCCGGTAGAACCCCCCTTAATCCGGGTCTGTAAGAAAGCGACGCAATGGTGGTGTTAAGAGGATTAATATAAAACGGACAAGTAGACATCGAGTTCAAAAAGTAGCTTTCGGATCGGCTTTTTAAAGTTCTCAAAATTTTGAACAAAACCCCGCGTATCACGTAGCATGCAAAGACGTTTTTTATTTATGGAAAATGGTTTAACAATAGCCGTTTACAAATACTGAAAATTTCAATGCAATTTGCTTAACGGTTACCTACTGAGCAGTTATGCTCAATTTTGACTTTGCCAATCGATAGAGCGGGTCAAAATTAGTGAAGAACAATCCTGACATTATTTCTAAATGGCCATTTTAAACTCAAAAAAAAAAATTCAAAAGGAAATCCTATTTTTGGCTCTCGAAAATTTTCAAATTTTGACATGGTCATGAGAAATTGCCGATATCTTTGCTAAATTTTGAGAAAATTGAAATAAATTATATATCAATGGAAAAAGCAATGAATTCTCTATAAATCCATGCAAAATTGCGTTTAATAGCTCAGAAAGTTTTTGAGTAATTGAGCCTCAAATTTGATTTTTAGTCCAAATTTTGCCAAAAACTTCAAACCCAATTTGCTCAAAAAGTATTGAATAATTATTATTGTTCAAGTGCAAGTTCTCTTTTGTGAAAATTAACTCCAATTGTTGATCCAATTGATTACTTGAAACATGTTCAAATAGAGCCATCATTTTACTTTTTTCCAAGTGACTCTAGAGAAATCACACAAACTATAAAATCTCTTAAAAATAAAAACTCAACTGGTGAAGACGGCATATCATTGGAATATTTCTTGCTCTTCCTCATCCTGCACTTGATGCCCTTTCAGGAGCAATTAATTATTCCTGGGAAATGGGAAAATTTCCAGATACTTTGAAGACTGCAAGTGTTATTCCTCTGCATAAGGGTGAGAATCTGGATGAACCTCAAAACTTCAGGCCAATTTCTCTATTATCAACCCTTTCGAAAATTGTCGAAAAGTTGGTTAAAAAGCGGGTTTTGTCATTTTTAAACTATCATCAGATACTAAATTCAGATCAGTTTGGTTTCCAAATTAAGAAAAGTATTGATGATGCAATATATAAATTTTTAGAGAAAATCTTCTTTGGTTTTAATGTCGGCGAGGCTCTCGCAGCGGTCTTCTGTGAAGTATCAAAAGCTTTTGATTACGTCAGTCATGGAATTCTGCTGTGCAAGCTTCACAGATATGGTTTCAGGGGGAAGGTTTTGGACTGGTTTCGCTCCTATCTTGAAGGGCGCTCTCAGAAAGTCATCTTTGGTTCTCAAATATCTCAGGCCAATAGGGTCAAGCATGGAGTTCCTCAGGGCTCAGTACTAGGCCCTCTTCTGTTTTTAGTATATATAAATGATCTTGCTTTTGTCAATATTGAGGGTCAGTTCACATTTTTTGCAGATGACACCACTATATAATGGCGTGATTCAAGCGTTGATGCGTTAGAGGAAAAGGTTTCTTCAAATCTTCCCAAAATTAAACAGTGGTGCGATGCTAACTTGCTGACTCTGAATGTTGACAAGAACACTATTCAAAATTTTCATTGTAATTTAAATACTCTTTATCTTGGCGGGGATCCTCTTTTGGCTAATCCTGGAACTAGGTTTTTGGGAGTTTTTATTGATAAGTCTTTACATTTTGACACTCATATTAATAACCTCATGAAGAAAGTGGCTTCAGGATGTTATGCAGTGCGCACAATAACAAGGGAGCTAGGCAATGCTCTGGCGAGGAGGGTTTACTATGCATTGGTAGAATCTCATTTGCGTTATGGTATTGTATTTTGGGGAAATGCGAGTATATAACTTAGTACATCCTATTTTTGTTCTACAGAAATGTGCCATTCGTTATATGTGTAACGTAAATAGTAGAGAATCATGCAGGCCTCAATTCAAATCTAAAAAAATTCTCTTACATCATTGTTTATTTTGGAAACGGTCTGTCTGATTTATAAGCCTAGGATGTATTACCAAGAAATGCCCGGTCATTTGTATGGCCCTAGACGGTCACACTATTTAAGCGTGCCAATTCCTTCCTCCGTCTTAGTCAAAAATTCAATTATTTATGAGAGTCGTAAGATCTATAACCACCTACCTGACTATATAAAGCTTTATCCTACCCTCAGGCAATTTAAGAACTCCGTTAAGACTTTTGGTGGAGAGGGCATATTATGAGTTGGGAGAATACTATGGTGACACTTTTTAACTTGTTTGGAATATATTATTGTATTTTTTGTATAGTATTTCAATTTAACTATTTGTATGATTTTTAATAATTGTAAGTTTTATTGTATTTTTGAACCGTTTTACTTCCTACTTTCTGTTGAGTATTGATTTGGTCTCTCTTGTTCATCTGTTGCTTTTTAAAATTAAAATTTTGTCTTTTTTTGAAGTTTACCAATATTCGTGTTAGACTTAGACTTAGTTGTGTTTGTTTGTTTTATATTTTATAGTTTGTATGTTGACCTTAGGACCTGTAATGTTTGAATCCATTTTGACCTTTATTATTGCACTTATATATGTGATAATTTTTTTTTTATTAGCTTTGTCAACAAAACTTGATTTTATGACAATAAAGCATATTTTGATTTGATTTGATTTGCTTATAGAATGTTGGATTTTATTAGGAGACCTACTAGGGACTTTACAAGTATATGCCCCATCAAAATTCTTTACACATCACTGGTCAGATCCGTTCTTGAATTTTCTTGCGTAGTTTGGTCACCTTACTATCAGATCCACATCAATAGGCTTGAGAATGTTCAACACAAATCTATCAAGTTTGTTAGGTACAAACTGTCTCTGAGTGGTGTGATTCTCAGCGCTGACCAGACTATGACTTACTTAGACTTAACTACTCTTGTTCGCAGAAGGGAATACTTCGATATCTGTCTTGCTTTCAATATCCTTAACTACTAGGTACATGAAAGCCACGAATGTCTTGGATGCTTCTATCTACACAACATACTCAAAGTTATCGGACACGAAGTAAATCTTTACTGCACATTTCTTAGTGTCGTACTTGGTACTTCAGGGCTGGAACAAATGTAACGGATAGAGATCGTTATCCCCATCGCTATGGCACTTATTGCTGTCTTCTTCCCTCTTTAAAATTCAATAGAGAGATGTTAATAGGGATAGAGAAAATATCTCTATTCATTACAGAGTCCCAGCCCAGGCGACCTGATAATAGAATATCTGCCAATGTGGATAAGTTCTCTGAGGTTCTTGACTTTTTTAGTTTATCTCAAGTCTCAAGATAAATTCAAGACGCGGGCCAAGAGAATTATTGTTTTAGGTTATATTTTTAGATTTGAACTTTTTGTAAAAAAAGTCTGGAATATTGGTGATATCTTAAAAACGGTTAAATATTTTTTTCTTGAAATTGGTATGCCTCTGTAACGAATAACTCCGGATCATTCAAGTGTGAAATCGCTTATGTAAGAATACAGGGTGAGTCAATAAAAATGCAAACTTTTTTATTTTAAATGACACACCCTGTAAATTTTTACGGATATCGATAGATCTTTGCAAGACAAATTCACTAATATGGGGTTTAGGGATCTTATCTGTCAAAGTGACGGAACAAGTAAAAAAACTAATTCAATAGTATATTGTGTATTAAGGTGGAAAAGTGACACATTCTCGGCCGACGCACACTGTAATGAAATTGGAAAAAACGGGACATTAGCCTATATATCAAAATCTGGATTTATATACAATTTTTACACGGATAATTAGAGGACACCCCAGAGCTTCACTATGTGAGATATCTTTCATTTTGCCCTTCTGGTCAAGGAGATATGTGTGTCATTTAAAATAAAAAAGTTTGCATTTTTATTGACTCACCCTGTATTCTTACATAAGCGATTTTACACCTGAATGATCCGGAGCTATTCGTTACAGAAGCATACCAATTTTAAGTGAAAAATATTAAGCCGTTTTCAAGATATTAGCAATATTCCAGACTTTTTTTACACCCTGTATATGTATTTTTTTTATAGGTATGTAAATAAATATTAAGTCATACTTAGATGGGATTTGTTTGAATTTTAAACAAATCAAGTACATGTTTTACCTTCAAATAGGAGACTTCCAATCGCTAAGGCCTCCGCAGTAGACCAATCGATATTAAGCCCCTCGGCTACTTTTGACAGGCGATTTTTAACATGCCCCCTCAATATTGTGGGATGAATTTTCTGAAAAACAATTATTTAAATAATGATAAAAATTGTTCGAAATTTTTACCAACTCATACAAAGTTTTCTGGATATTTCACTGATTTTTCACCAAGGAAAGTCATCAAATCCACGTCAATTCCAGTGTCCCAAACGGTAACTGCCGCTGCTGGTTGAGAAATGCCTTGCCATTGGGATTTAAAATAGACATCTTTTGGATTCCAATCTTCAGATTTGTTCAACTCTTCATTTAGCCAATCGAAATGTTCGTTATATATCTCAGAACACTCTTGTTCACTTAAAATACCTTGACTGATAAGTTTTTTAGCATAAGCATCCGGCACTGACCTAGAAGAAGATTCAAATAAATATTATTTGCTTTCTAGTACATACAACACTACATTTTTGAATTAATCAACCCATACAAAGCAGGATTTGTAAAAGTAGGATCATCCATCTCATTATGTCCCCATCTTCTAAAACAATTCATGTCAACAAACACATCTTTTCGAAACTTTCTTTGATAGTTGAAAGCCAATCTTGCTGCTTTTAAAACTTCCTAAAAAACTCTCAGTCATCAATCAATTATTCCAAAAAATAATACACATTTGAAATTACCTCTGGATGATCTCCATTAACATGAATAACTGGGGCAGCAATTATTTTAGCCAAATCAGTACAATATCTAGAAGATCTTCCACGCTCACCAGGAGTAGTAAAACCTATTTGGTTATTGACTACCAAGTGAATGGAACCACCGACTTCGAAATGTGGTACCGCGCTTAATTCTAAGGTTTCTTGATTGACGCCTTGTCCTATGAAAGCTGCGTCACCATGAACCTAGTTGAATTATGTAGAGAGTTTTGATTTTAAATTACAAATCTCTTACCTGTATGTTCAAAACTTTCTCGCTCCACCTCTTATCCCCGTAACCACCATCTTTTAATGCGATTTGTTTAGCTCTAGTTTTTCCCATAGAAACTGGATTGGCAATTTCCAAATGAGACGGATTATATAATACTGATACATGTATGGATTTATCATTATATGTTACGTCTGTGGAAGATACTAAAATAAATGTTCTGTCAAGTATTTTTTGAGACTAGTTACAACGAGGCTTACTTATATGACTAAGTACGTCTCCAAAGCACTGATAAGTTTCAGGAAAATCTGGATTTCCTTTTAGTTTGTGAAATATTTGAGCTGGGGGGTAATTTAAAAGACCCGTTAATAAGTTGAGGCGGCCTCTGTGGGGTAATCCAAGGATTAATTGTTCTAATGGGTCTACAAAATCCGAAGACTTAATTTTTCATTTGAAATAGGTATTTTTTCGTCTTACCATTTGTAGCCATTTTGAAAACCTCATTGAAAAATCCCATCATGCTTTCAGCACCTTCGCCACCATATCGTTTCACGCTGGAGAATCTTTTTGCTAGGAAATTGTCAAAGGCTTGAGATCTTATAAGCTCTTTAGCTAGTGATTTCTTCGTGTCATTTGGTAGCTCTATATTTGAGACTTTTTCAAATTCTGATGCAAACCATTCCCTTTCTTCTTCAGCCTACAAATTTAATTTGAGGACAAATTTTCACTCATCTCACATTTACCTCTAAGTATTTAAATTCTCCACTTATATGATTACAATAGATTTTGTTCAAATATTCCACTAATTCGCTTAGTGACACTTCATCACTGGGATGGTTTATAATACCTTCATTTAAATTAATTATTGTATTTGTCTCTTTAAACCCGTATCTCGTAATGTCTAGCTCAATTGGATTCCTATAAAAGGTATCTTGCTGTAGGCTTGCCCTTTATCGGTGTCTATAATATACTTACTCGGAGCTTTCCAATATCGATATTGGATTCGTATTGGCATATTTATGTCCATGCGTTCTATAAGCTGTCACTAAACGATACAAATTACTTGCGTTAGACCTATTTTGCAATATCTCGTCAGAAACTAGAAAAAATAAATTTAAAATTGCGAAATTGGTTATAAGTACAACGTAATTATTATAAATAATACCTATAGAAAAATTCATTGCTAGTTTAGAATTCCCACAATTTTACTTACGTCTAAACTCACTCCTAGGTATTTTCCTATATCCAAATACATTATCACTCTGATAACCCCGCACAAATTCCCTAGTTATTCTTAAACTTTTCAAAATACTCAAACTTCTTTGATGTATTATGCCGTAATTAGAATACATTGTGGCAATGTTGGGGACAATGTTAAAAATACACTGCAGTCGCCAAGAAGAATTGAATATTCGTCCTTTAATCTGGATTTGTTGACCCCAGCAGTTAATTTTATGTTTACAGTTGTGATGTATACGTAATTTTATCAGTTTTGATAAGAATATGATTTTGATTTGGTTTGTATATAAGTAAAATTATTATTTAATATGTAACTTAGCTTAAAAACTTTAAAGAAACTACTTCAATAATACTGTAATTTATTGTTTTTTGTTATATAAACAAATACAGATATAAGACTAGCGCTTGATAGTGAATGATTTAAAACTAAATTTTTCAATATTACGTTCATCAGTGAAAACTGCTTTGTCGATTCTTGACTCGGGACTTCCAGTCGTTTGTAGCCAATTTTTCCTGCAAAAAAGTGCAATTTAGTTGTTGGCATTTCACCACTAATTACACATACATGTCAGCAATTTTATTAGGGTTTCCTTCTAAAACTCCTTTTACAGTCTTTTGGTTAGTATTCATACACCAACCCCGAAGTCCCAATCTTTTAGCTTCCTGTTCTGTGTACTAAGAGAAATTCGTTATTATAATGCAGGCAAATTTTCGTGTTTTGACTTTCAATTTGCCAATGGAGGAAAGAAGCTGCGCGAGATGATTTGTCAAATACCTAAGCTAATGGTATACTTACCTTTCTAAAAAACACTCCTGAAACAGAAAAAAAAAGATATAAATAAACATATTTATTTCCTACTGAACTATTATTAGTTATTTATACACCAAGTGAGTTAAATGAATGTTTATTCATGAGAAGAAAGTTTAACCCACGAGCCCTAGCGAGTGGGTTAATTTTCTTCGAATGAATAAAACATTCTAACTCACGTGATGTATACAAACTTTTATCCCATTTTGTTGAAGTTTAAAAAATAAAGTTCAAAGAAAAATGCCGAGAGTGAGTTAAAAATATCTCAAATCACTGAGGTGTCGGACTTCCAGTTGGGCAGAGTGACTTAAAATGCCGAGAGTGAGTTAAATTTTTTTTAAATCACTGAGGTGATAAACGTCTACTTACCTTTATTGTTATGCATTCAATAATGTCATTTTTAAATGTCAAAATGGGATAAAACTATATAATACCTTGGTTACGATAATCATAAACAGGGTCTTAACTCCCGCTTTTACCTTGAATAGGTGAAACTTTGACAAAAAATAGACATTTTGGTTTATGGTTTAAATTATTTCTTTACAAAAATGGACAAAATACAGTAAACTCAGTAGGATATAAAATTATCTATGCACCACGGGAATTATCAGGTGTTAATACCCACGGGCAATTTGTGTCCCTCGGGCCGAAGGCCCTCGATACATAAATAACTATTATGAATACAATTTTATAAGAAACACATAAAATTAAGCATTTTGAAATGTTATTTATGTGGAGTATTATGTAAGACAAAGAGGCGAATTATCAGCAGCAAAACGATACATAAAAAAGCACAAGCAAGGGATTGATGAATCAAGATTAAGATGTGGCTAATAGTTTACCTATGTTACATACAAAAAAAACTACTTTTCAAACTCCTTACGTAATAGCTACATATTCCTAATTTGTTCTACATTTGGTTTTAAACAAAAAATAAAAAAATAAAACTTGATTCATTTAATTATCTTTGGTGAAATGATGTTTCGTCATCAAAACTATTAAAAAGTAAACAACTTTCAAATTGATCATTGATCATCATCAATTAATAATTTAAAATGAAGTAATTATCAATTATTAATAACTTAAAAAAGTATAGGTGACTAGTGACTGGGTGAGTTTTTTTGTGAGAGGTTTTCTAGACTAATGACTTTCAAGTAATGGTAGGTCAAGATAAAGGTCCTTGAATCGAGGGCAGACAATACCATTATTATTTACCAAGTTTCCTCAAAAATTAATAAATAGGCAATACTTATTAATTTTTTCAAATCATATAGGTAGGTAATTAATGTAAATTATTCTATTGTATTTTAATCGAGATTGTCCTACGTTAGTAAGTTGAAAAATTGGTCTAAAACTACTTTAATCAACGACAACAGTCTGTTCAAATTTGCAAGATTAGGGGCCGATACTTTTGCTCTCGATTAACGAATTTGATATGTTGTCAAAGTTTTGCATGAGCCAAGGTCTATAAGTATGATGTAGTTAGAGCACATTCTAGCCCCTGATTATTTAGTTGTCAAATGAGAGCAAAAGTACCGGTTACTGGCACTAAAAGTTCTCAAAAAAGTTTAATTTGGTGTAACACAAGGGTCAGTATACTACATCAGTGTACCAGATCGATCCTTTGTGGTTTTTTAACTCCTTCTTCCTGCCCTCTCCTCCCCTTTCTGTAATTCTGATTCTGAAGGGTTTGTTAAAGTCAAAGGTAGTTGTTTTCTTATCTGAATGTGTGTTGGTAGAGAATTCCCTATCTCTTATCAGGAAGATTTTGAAATGTCCTACAGGTTTGCCCCCTTGCCACCTTGGGTTGTTTATATTTAATCTGTATGATGCTACCAGGGCTTGCGTTTCCACTACGAGGTGCAGTGGTGGAAGTCCTAGAAGCAGCTGCATGGCTGCAGAGGGCTTTGTTCTCATGGCCCCTGTTATGCCTGGCCTTATGCCACAGCAGACAAACAATGCATTGGTATAGTCTGGCAAGTGGTAATTTGATAGAAATGAAAGGGGGAAGAAAAGTGGGGCGTAACCTTAGAATATTCACTGATACCTCAACTGACACCGCTTGATGACAACCATATCTTTGGGTTTTCGCCAATAACCACGCCACTGTGCTGTCATTTAGGCTCTAATCAATAGAATAATGCCTCTGAATAATCACGCCTATCCACATCTATCATTTTGCAATGTTGCGTTCTATTCTATTTCAAAATACTACACATGCCCATATTGCAAGAAAAAAAAATATGTCGCCAACTTGTTTATTATTATTTCCGTCAAGTTTGGCAAAGCAACAAATTCTATTGCAGCTCGCCGTTTGGCTAGCCAGACTGTAGGTAACTGTGGGAATCACAACTGTAGTGTAAGGCCATGCATCATCCCGGGTTTAATCCCCATGTTTTCCCTATCATGCATTTGCATGCCCATAATGCTCTTTTGATTTTGGTTGTTATTACTTCTATGTGTTGCGCGAAGGTAATTTTTTGGTCGTGGGTGACTCCCAAGTATTTGACTACCATGCTTCTCTGTATTACTTGTCTATACATTTTGACGTCTCTTAGGTTTTGAAGATGCCTCTTTTGCGTAAACGCAATTGCAGAAGTCTTTTGTGGATTTACCCTGAGATCTTCTTTGTTGCACCATTTTTCAACAGTGTTTAGTGCGAGTTGTACTCTGTTGCATACCACTCCACTAAACTTCCCGTTTAGCAATATGGTTAGGTCGTCTGCATATCCTTGTGCATATATGCCTTTGCGTTCTAGGTTCATAAGTAGTTCGTCCACTAGGGGCCGGTTTCTCAATAGCAGATCACCCCCGGGTTAAGCATAACTCCGGGGTGAATATAGCAACTAGACACGCTTACCCTGAAGTTAAAACCATCCCGGAGGTGACTCGTTATTGAGAAACCGGCCCTAGGAGACAACACAAAAGGGGTGAAAGGACGCCGCCCTGTGGGCATGCACTAATAATCTTTACAGTCCTGGCAATTTCTCCCCAAGAAGTTGTTATTATTATTATTGTCTCAGTGAGGAGTTAATCCACCTTACTACAGGCTGCTCTATTCCATGCTGTTCCACAGATCTAATCACCAAGTTTAACGATGTATTGTCACATGCGCCTTCTATATCTAGAAATACTCCTAGTGCTATTTGTTTATTGTGTATAGCTATTTCTGCTCTGCGAGTTAGCTCGTGTAAAGCCAGCTCGCATGATTTTCCTGTTTGATAAGCATACTGGTTCTGGTGTGAACCTCCGACACCCAGGTTTTGGTATAAAAATTACCGTTTCTCCAGCTACTTGATATGTAACCTACTGCTATTGCAAGGCTGGACCTAACTAGTGTGCAGAGTGGTGAAGCTAGTACACCCTCTTTGTAATAAGGCTGAAAAAATTCCATCTGTGGCTAAGGACTTGTATGGTTGAAACGTTTGTATTGCTCATTTTAGCTTGGTTCGGTTTATTGTTTTATTTGCTAGTTTCCAGTCGTCCCTAAATGCCCTTATTATCTCTGGTATTATTTACTTTGTTATTCTAATCTGATTGTTTTCAGGTATTACTGTGCATCCCCGAAAGTGTGTCTCTAGAGAAGCAGTTCCCAGATAATCTTCCCCAGTAGATGTGTAGTTTCCCTGTGGGTTAAGAGTTATTTAGAGTTCCGGTTTTTTCAGTGCTCAGTTTCTCTAATGCTTTGCGTGCATTGCTCATTCTGGAGTTTTTTCAATTTCCGTGCAGTACTTTCTCCAGGAGTTAGTTGCCTTCCCTATTGCTTTCGTATATTTCAGGTTGGTCTTTTTGTTCCACACGCCGGTACGTTTGGCCCGATTAAATTGCTTCCGTGCTTCAGTCCTTAGTATTGAAAGTTCGTTGTTCCACCAGGAAATTCCGCTTTTTTATTTTCTTAATTTTAAAGGACAGGTGTTCTCATAGGCTGTCACTATGGCTTGGGTGGTGCCATGGTTCATTATGTCTAACTCCGCGGCTTTCTTCGGTTAATATAGACAGTCTTCCAAACCCTGCTTCAGATCCTCCTTGAAGAGGTTCCAGTCACATGTTTTTGGGTTGCGATATTCGCAGGCTTCTGCCTGAGTGGTTATGTATTCAATGATCCAAAAGGGATGATTCATCCAGAACTTGTCACTCACTGGTCACGGATTTCACTAGTATGGACTCGATTGTTATGTGGACAACCTCCCATCTTGTTAGTGTGTCAAAAATAGGTTCGTTACCGCGGTTTAATAGTTCCAGCTTATTACTAATAACAAATTCTAGGAGTGACTGACCTCTATTGTTGTCTCCTGTGCTCTCCCATATTCTGTGGTGTGCATTGGAGTCACATCCAATGAGGACTTCTTTGTTCCTGCTTTCACAGTCCCTGATGAGTTCCTTCTCCTAGTTGGTCGGAGGTTGCCCATGTTGATCGCAATGATGCAAGTTCTAGGGTGTCTCTGGGGGGTGGCAAAAGCTCCCACTCCCTAGGCTTCCCAAGACCTCTGATACGCCCATTGACAATCCAAGGTTCTTGTATAAGACAGCGATCAATATAGTGGTGGGAAAAAATCGAATTCAAAAACTATCGATAGTTTGATAGTTGTGGTTGATTGACTATCGATATATCGATAGTACTATCGGTTTAAAAAATATAACCTAGAACTGAAATGAAAATTGAAGATTCTAATAGTATTTGTACAAAAATAATTATTTAACTACAACGCTTTAAGAAAGCAACCATTTTTTTTGATTAAACAACATATTTATATTTTTAGATTTAAGTTTGGATCTTTTAACTGTCAAAATATAATCAGCCTTCGATCCTTCCCGAAATGGCGTGAAATAGAAGGGTCCCCCCAAGGTTGTTTGAGAGAGGTAGATTGCCTGATAACTTTTATGACGTCATCTGTATGCCTGAACCTAATGCAAATCTCCATAAGGCACTTTAGATGCGTCATCAAGTTATCCATTACCAGACAACCTGTAATAATACAAAACTTGATAGTATTCGATAGTCTAGGGGAAATTATCGATAGTTCGATATTTTTGATTCCGCAACGAGCTATCGATATATCGATAGTTTCATTCGTTAGTTTCCCACCTCTAGATCAATATGTCTCTTTGCATTATGATATTTTGTAAGGCAGCCAAGGCTGCCTTGCTGTGCTGAATATTTGCCTGAAGAAACCTCGCGAGTTTTGTGTCCTACGAAATCGATGGTAGTGGAGGTCCTTGCTGAGGTGCATCTTTATCTCCCTTTTCTTCTATTGGTCCGTCCTTCCTCTTGTGTCCCAGAGCCTTGAAAAGCACCCTGGTGAAGTTGAGGTACGGTCTAGAGCCTCAAGTTTTCCCCATGAATTCTTGGCCATAAGCAGAATGAGCTGTTGTCCTTTGGGGTCCAGCTTTCTGTCCACCAGTTTCCAGGTTTCGCTTGTAAGTCCTGGGTTTTGTGTTTTCAACCGCTTTAGACCAAAAAAAGGGCCATCTGCGGAATGAGGCCGAACAAGCTGAATTTTGGCAGAGACCTTCGTTTTGATGTTCTAATGAAGCTCAAAAAAAATCGAATATGCCTACCCTTGTACGTTTTGAGATATTGAAGGTCAAAGGTCACGAAAATCAGTTTTTTGCGAAAATCTCGCATCTGACGTCAAAGAACCCAAAACAAAACTTACGTAAAATAGTATTTTCTACAAAATCGTTCATATACATTTTTTTGTACGACCATCCGTTTCCGAAATATAGCGTGATAAAGCGGAAGCGCGCATTCTAAATAGGTGATACTGTATTATACAGGGTGTCCTCGTTCAACTGGTCAAAAATGCTAGGGTATATAGAGGAACCATAAAGAAATAATTTGAGATAGGATACCGATGGTCGGAAGCGAGGTCGGAAGTGTGTCGTTTCCAAAATACAGGGTGTTGAAATTTGAACAACCCCCTTTCATATCATCTGAAGGGCTAATGCTAGGCTGTTCAAATTTCCAGGGACTATTGATTTAGGAATGATATTTGAAAATTCGTAGAATGCATCTCCATTTTCTACCTGGAACCATGTTGGAGTTGGTGAGGAGGCAAGCCAGGTTTGTTCATAGTTTAGAATTTCAGTAGTAATGGAAATACAGCTTGGGTTCCAGTTGCCCTGATAAAAATACGTACAGAGGCAACTATGGAACGTATTTCATGTGGCCAACTGGAACATATTATATGTTCCGTTCCACCTGAAATTAACATTGTGTATATATTCTCGATTGTCCTATAGCAAATATGGTCAGGAATTAGTAGAACCTCCAAAAGTGCGGACGGTGGAAGATACACCAAGTTGCGAGCCAAGTTGGCCTTGAAAAAACCTGCCGTTTTCTATGACATCTCAAGATCCACAATAAGACCCGAGATAAGACCCTTTGTATTTGGAACAAGAGGCAATGGTATATTTTCGGTAGGAGGATCAGGTAGTGGAAAAATACTTATATGAATGAAGTAGAAGAAGAACTGTCAACTGTGCTAAACACCATGCAGAAAACGAGATATGGATCACTTACAAGGAAAATAAGTTTATTATTTTATTTTCTGTTCAAAACAGTCCAATCAATCTTTACATTATGTGTTACAATATTTTCTAGTCGCCTCAGAATTATTACTTACGGTAACTGGAACTGTTGACCAAAAAAAAAAGTTGGACCACTTAAACAGAACAAAGTGAAACGCTGAACCAGAACAAACTGCAGAACGAACATGCACGCAATTCTTCAGATTCTAATGGAAATGCCCAAAAATGCGTTAAAAAAGTTGGGTTGGAAGTTATAGAAATTTATAAATACTTCCATCTTCCATGTATTTCCAACTTATTCCGATGTACTTCCAGAGTATTCTCATATACTTCCAGCATATTCCCAAGGATTTCCAAGTATTCCTAGGTATTCCCAGAGTATTACCAAGTATTTCCTAGGTATTCCTCGAGGTATTCCCAAAGTATTCGCAACAAAGTGTATAGTGATTTCAATAAGTGATTTAACCCTCGGGTTTAGCCAAAACCATTGGTCCAGGCAAAGTCCAGGTCAAGTTTCAGATTATTTAATTCAAGATTTAACTCCAGCCTTAGGTATATTGTGAACTTGTGGTATGTGTGGTCAACCTGCTGCCGAGTCCGCAACTATTAGTTTGATAACCAGTGCAGGTTACCAACAATTGTGAAACTGGGCCTAAGTGTGTTTTTATATGCAAACTGGAGATTGGAATGTCTGGGATAAACAGTACCTCTACCTATTTATTGGGGTTCAAAAAAGTAAGAGTATGTAGGTACTATCAAAAGCGGAAGCTTCGAATTAAAAGATTTGCACTGCACGGATCAAAAAGCATGCATGCATATTGTTCGTCGATTTTAATCTGATACTCGGACGGAATGTGAGCTGGTGGCTCCCTACATTAGAACGCCAATGGTTACCTGACGTCACACCTGTTTTTGCCATATGAAACACCCCCTCGTTCCTCATACTGCAAGTATCAGTTAAAAATCGACGAACAATACCTATTTATACATGGAATTATAAAAATATATGATTTATTCTATAGAACTAACCTTGCACTGTTCCAAACACTTCAAAACTCACAGTTGTTAATTTTTCACTCGAACTCATTATGTAAGAAATGCTCGGAGTTAGGACAATCAGTAAAAGTGCACAATAACACTTTTTTGCCAAAAATCTTTTAAATTTTGGCAGGACAATCAGCTGGTCCGACATTTGTTTATTTTTTTTTTTTTTCCAGGTGGAGGGTGGAGGGAGGTTGCCATGGAAACGAAGCTCTGTTGCCAGATTTAGTTCACTTATCATCAATTGAAAATTTCAAATTACGATCCCAAAGGAAAAATTTTATACAGAATAATTTATTAATGATCAGAGAAATGCAATTCAATTGCTAAGAAAAGCAGCTGTGTCCTGAAATTTTGCTTTTTTTTGAATGTGTAGGTACATTTTGCAATGTTGCCATTTTTTGTTTTGGCATTTTCAGGATTTCTTCTTCCTTCTTGGCAGGGCAGGTATGCGTCCGTCTGGTAGAATTCCTTCTTTAAACTCCAGGATTTTGGTAGTATTGATTAATTAAACCTTAACTAATTTAAGATTCAAAAGTTATATTAAATTATTTAAAAGTTTAATGAATAATCAAAGAAGTTGAGTATTGTTGGTTGCCGATCGATAAAACCGCTCTCCCCCGGCAAAATCAGCTGACAATTCCCATCGACCTGTCACTCGTCCTTGGTGGTGTTTTCCTGAGGCCGGATCATTGGGCCGGATTGTTGTTCTGCTTGGCTTTGCATTTATGAACAAAAGTTTGTTTAAATTAGTTCGATTTCAGCGCTAAGTGGGAGACCCCGGTCTTGTCTCGCGGCGTGTGTTTCTTTGCGATGCTCCGAGTGCCACAACATTGGTAAATTAACAATGTTCGATAAAACTATCACAGACTTATGGCAAGCAGTTGAGTATTCGAATACTTGGTGGATATGCCTGTTTTCGATATGTGCCGTTTTGTTATGCCTCTTTGCTGCCAGGTAAGTTTCTCTGTTTATTCGATTTCTTGTAAAGAGATTGAAAATTTTTAATTCATGCTTGACCACCCACACATAAAGACAAGGGAGGTGTCTTCGTCTTCAGTCTTTGTTTTGTATGACCTTGATTCCCTTTGCTGATTGCAGTCCTGTGGGATTTGTCAGCTGGTATTTTTGTGAAAATCCAATTTGACATTAAAAAGTTTCAACTTCTTTTACCTCTAAGTACATATATCTAATCACAAAACAACAGTTTGAGATATTTGGAGCCTTATTTCGAGGATTTTTCGTGTTACATTTTCCTGCAGTATTTTCACAATACCTACATGAATAGACTATATTTTTTTTTTGCTTTGCAGAAAAGTTTCTACCAAAGATACTTGATTAAACTGCTCCAAAAATTGTCTCATCATATGGCTCAATAAGTAAATTGCTTAAAAAAATCTTAAGTCTGATATCTCAAGACAACTAAAATAAATATGACATTATTTTTTTCTTAACTTACTGAAGAGGTCGTTGTTATGTAGATATAAAGTTCTTGACCTGTTAATAATTATTGCGTGTATTCAATTTAGCCATATCTCGCATGTGGCAGTCAATAAATTTAGTTATTATCTTTTTATGTAAATTTGTTTTTATTGGTTCTTCATGGAGTCATGGTCTACTTTTTCTTGGGTTGTTTTGAGACTCGTTAAGATTTCTGGTCTGAGGATTTTTCTTTTCAAAATACCTAGGTTTTTTTATTTAATATCTACTAATTCACTTAGGTTAATTATTAGTTTCAAGTTTGGTATTAGGTATATTCCTTCATCATCATCAAACAGCATCTTTTCACGTCCTTTGTTGAACATAGGCCTCCTCTAAAATCGAGTCTATAATTTTGCACTCGCTCTGTTCTAAGTAGTTGAGATCCAATTTGATGAGATCCTTTTTAGGTCGTCTGTCCAGCAAGTGGGAGGTCTTCCTAAGTTTTGTTTGTCGGCTCTCTTGCAATTCAATTCAATTCTTTTTTGTCTAACAGGAATACTCCCAATAATAAGACAATAAGTGCACTTAAGCAAACATAATATGAAAATTTTAACGCTTACACTATATCTACACTCGATCTAACACTTCAAATCTAGAAAATTAAAAAATCAAAAATCAGATATCTGAGATAAGTAGGTTCCTAAGTATGTATGTACTTAACACACAACATAAACAGTTAACATAAATCTCATCACCAACTGATAATAAAACAGAAAAAAGAACAAAAAACAAAATATTAGCATGAACTATTTTTGAACCTAAAATTCAATGAACTAATAAATGGAAAACTCAAAAAACTCAAATAACATTACTTGCATATCGAGTTGCATATTCAATCTTTAGGTTCAAAGAATTCTTCTTTAAAATAGGCAAATTCTCTTTATGAATCTTGTTTTTTTGAAGTGCAGAGTGACAATGGATTTATACAACATAGGGCTACTGAGGTATTTTTTTGTTTTGTTATTATTTATATACTTATAATTATTGTTGTAAATTTATGGAAATGGGTATGCTCCCTGGTATGCTAAGGGTCAAATTTAGATTGTTTTGTGTTTTCAAGTACTTCCTATGACTACTTATTATTTTGTTTCAACATGTAAACGCGGTCTGCATAACTGAATGGAATAACAAGAAAAGTCTGCACACAAGTCCATCAGGACTTCAGCAGAAATGTTCTTATTTATTTATTTTCCTTCTGGTTACCTTGAAAGTAGTTTACTATGCGCTCGTCGAATCCATAATTAATTATGGCATTGTTGTTTGGGGTAGTGCAGGTGTGACTACATTGAACAAGCTCCAAGTAGCACAGAAATACATAATAAAAATTATGTTATTTAAAAATAAAAGATATCCAACTGAGTTGGTTTTCAAAGATAGTGAACTGTTAGATATCCAACAATTGCACCTTAAGGCAATAGTTAGATTTATGTTAAAAGTGCCTTATTATAAGGAACCTATTAGCCACGGAGTAAATACGAGAAACACTGCTAAGAACAATGTGACAAGACACAACCCCAAACATACAATCTGTCAATATCACATTTCTAGCTTAGGACCAAAAGTTTTTAATAGCCTCCCGAATAATATTAGAAACAAGCCATATCATAGATGTAAAAGAGAAATAAAACAGTGGATTCGTCAGAGTAATTACAAGATACATTACCTAATTTAAAAATAGTAAAAGATAATAACATTATTATTGTTTATATTTATATACATAAGTGAGTCAAATTAGGAACCTCAAGGGATAGACTGATATAGGAAAAAAGGGGCACACACAGTATTTCAAATACCATCGTGCACCCACATTAGGCAATAGTGTTAAGTATAGGTAAACTATATTGGGTATTTTTGTTATTATTTAAGGATACTATTGTTGATCAATAAATAAATAAATAAAATAAATAATGGTGACCAAACAGAGGAGCAAAAACTCCAAGTCTCTCTTGTGATGTGTCCTGCCCTCGGTCCTGCCCATTTCCACTTTTGTTTTGCGATACCTCATACAATATCGTACCCCCCAGTTCTTATGGATCTCATTATTCCTTATTCGGTCTTTATAAATCAATCCAAACATGGATCTTTCCATTCGTCTTTATATTAATCTCAACTTTTCTGCTATGTGAGGTTTGATTTGATTTGATTTGAGTCATGTCTCCTCATCATGGGTCAGGACTCGGAGAGGATACACTGGTTGAATGCTTTTCGTTTTAGGCATATTGGAATGTCAGACCTAAACACATACCACATTTTCCCAAATGCTGCCCATCCCAAGGTTATTCTCGAGGTTATTCTTCTCTTCAATTCGCATGTTAGGGTATATCTGTGAATTCTCATCTCATGACCCAAGTATACATACTTGTCCACTAATTCTATGTTATTCTAGTATAAGAATTTCTACCTGAATATCGTTCAGATGTTAACTCATCTAGGTGTAAACAATTATCTCAGATACGATAATAATACTTATTTTATTTAAATTTGCAAACTTTGTAAAACCCGTATAAACTTTTTGTAATATATTATTATTATTATTATTATATTATTGCCAAGATTATTGTCTATCTGTATTTACTTATTGGGAACCGTAACCTGTCAGATTCGTCTTTTGATTTTAATTTTTCTGTTGGTGGAGTGGAGATTTATGGTGGTTGTTGCGTTTCCACCCAAGTAACATTTTTAGCTTTAAAGAAGTGTCAAGAGTTACTATAAAACCTAGAATAAAAATATTTTATAAAGCCATATTGCCTTAGCAACCATTTAAGAACCCTTTTAAAGTTCTTTTTAAGACTGCAAGGGCCCACCCCTAAGATTGCTCTAACAGCCTTTTATAAAACCTTATTAAAGCTTTGTGGTTTCCAAAGGCAAAGTTTTATAGCTATACAGACAGCGTCCATAAAACTTATTCCAAGTTTATGATAAAACTATTAGGCCGCCTTGAAAAGCCACATGGAAGAAATGAAGTACAGGGTGATCTATTATAAATGTCACCCCCTTCTAACTTTTTCATTTTACATTTTTGACAAAAGTGTCAAATACAAACGTTTCAAGATATTGTCGAAAGTTTTTAACTAAGTCAGTTTCAGGCATACAGGGTACGTCAAAAAAGTGCAGCAGTGTGAAGTTATGTTTTTTTAAATGAAACACCCCGTATATTGTGCACTTATTTCTTAGCCCCTTTCAACCTAATTTCAACGATATACCTACGGTTTGATATGTCTATCTTCAATAGTTATGGGGAAAAACATGAAAACCCCTTTCAAGGTTTCATATTGAAAAAAGAAAAATTATACCATTTAAGCTTTAGAGATTTTTTTTATAAAGAGTTTATTGTTCATATTTTATTCATTGATATACAAGATGAAATATTATAATATAATATAAATCCAAATGTCTAAGTTATTATTATTATTTAAAAAAAAAATATCATGAGAAACCTAGGAAGGGATTTTCGCGTTTTTCTCTATTTCTATTGGAGATAAACCAAAAGGTAAACATATCCAGGGCCGGCTCTAGGTATTTTGCCGCCCTGGGCAATGAGTAAATTTGCCGCCCCATCCCATGGCCTGCTTAGGGAAAATGTGAGAGACCTCGAATTGTAGAAACAAAAAATAATTACACGAAACAGTAAGGCATAGCATCTTAGCAATAAAACCACATACTATATTAAAGTCTGTTTTTTTTTTAAAGATAAAAGTCTAAATGACATTATGTTGGCAATACAATGTAAAATTGTCAATGCTTTCAAATTTTTTATGTAAAAAAGGCTTGTGTTGCCAACATAGTTACTAAATTTTTGACTTTGGGAATTATCTTTAAATAAAAAACAAACTTTATGTAACTTAGGTAACCACAAAAAAAAAACTAACATAAGAAAACAAGAAACATAACAAACAAAGTAAGAGTCAGCCAATCCAAGATCTTGACAACAATCAGCAGATACATAATATAGATAGGTATACCCTAATAGCACAGAAACGTTTCAAAAAATTATCCTATCGGACGTCAGAACGTTTTAAAAACGTCAGTGAAAATAACTTCTTTACTCTCCTTCTTATACCCAATTGAGTATCGGAGAAAACTATGAAGTTTAGAGCGAGGGGTAAACCACTAGGGTGAACATGTGACAGTATTGCGCAAAATTAGGGATTTTGCAAAATTTCGTAATGATTGCAAGGGATTTCGCAGGATTGTACAAGATTTCGCGGAATTTCTCGAATTTGCCTAGGATTTCGCGTGACTGCACAGGATTTCTCGTGATTGCTCAGGTTTTCTCGGGATTGCGCGGGATTTCTCCTAATTTAAAGTATTTTATTTGGGACTTCTTTCAGTGAATATTATACCTATATCAAGTAAAAACACTCTAGGTACAAAAAAAAAAAACGTAAGTAATTATTTATTGAAATCAAATCACAAATATTCTTTTAATTTTTTCTTGACCATTTCACTATAGTCTATTTTATCCCAAGATAGAT